CAGCTTACAAGCTCAGGGCCGTTTACCACGTGAGCGATTGTAGTCGTTTTCCATATATATATATATATTATATATGTTCTAAGATCTTGCTTTTTTCATTAAAATGTGCTCGGTCATTAAAAGAAAATCAGTTGTCATTATTTTACAACGAATTCTTGTAATAAATGTAATTATCTTATTAATATTTTGTATATTATATATCCAATGCTTGTGTCTGTACTGCTCAAACTATAGTTCAGTCAGATACAGTTCAATACTATTTATCAACTATGACAGTGTTTCCCAAAGTGAAACCCGCGGCCCTCCTGGCTTTTTCTGGGAGGTCATTGAAAACAAAGATGCTGAATTAATTTTAATTCTAAATAAACAGTAAGCCGATAAAAATTATGTTGAATTAATTAAACTACAGGCTTGTTTCATATTTTAAAACGAAAATAAGATTACCTAACATAAGATTAAGTGTGTATTTAATTGCTTATCAGTCTACAAATTTAACCCAAACATAACAAATTATTAATAGTCTAATTATAATACATGCAAATTGATAAGAAAAGGCCACATTAAATTACAAACATACAATTTAATAGAAAAAATACTTCATAAATATTATTAAAGTTAATTAGTAATTATTTTTTTTAAATTGACAAATCACATTTTAAGGCATTTTTATAGGTTGAGGGCTCAAACCTTTTTATTCACATCAAGAGAGCCTCAGATTAAAACACTGATCTACTAAGTTCAGTTCTGAGGACCCTCCACTAACAAAATTTCCCCCCACCCCACCCCAAGTCCTAAATCTGGCCCTTGATAGCGTCACAAGTGCTCTAAATTGTTGGGAGCCAACAATTTGTATTTTAATAATTCTTAAATGTTAACAAACGAGAATTAGGAAATATTAATTGGTATGAAAAAACGATTCTCAATTACGAAGAATGAAACATTAGTTATTAATAATAGAATCAATTCAGAAACAGGAAATAATGAAGTTATACATTTATTATTATTATCATTGTTGCCTCAAATATGATTCTTATGTGTATTAAGTAAAAGAAACCATATGTTTGGACTTCTGTACTTGTCTTGTAGATCCACAGTGCTGTAGTACTTCAATATGGCCGCCAGTAAAATGCTTTACATTATTACATTACTTGGAGTTAGCATAGTAGTCATTTGTAAATTTTGAACAGAAGCACTAGAAATTCCAATTAACATTAATATGCATTTTAATAACGAAAAATGTGCCATGTTTTACGTTAACAGCAAGTATAAATTTAAGTATCAAATCCAAAGTGTATTTTGTGGGACTCGTTATTCGAGTGAAAATTATCGTGACTCGTATATTATAATACCATTTACTTCGCCAGTTACAGTACTTTAAAATCTTGATAGCTATATTGATTTGATTCATGAATTGATTATTCTCACCGTTAAAGATGTTTCTGGACATAATAATGCTAAAATTTGGGGCTTGATCCCTGTGATGGGTATCTAACGGGTAGTCCATTTTGCAGCTATGCGCTTAACAACAAAACAACTTCTTCTGTGTCTTCTAATTAGTTTATATTTTCAGTTTATCCATTTGACTTTTGCGTTTATTTCTGATTGCTATTTCACGTTTTTTTTTTCTTTTTCTAATTACTGTTTCGTTAATTTTCATTCGGCTTCTCTCTCTAATTTTTTTTAATTTGATTTATATATATGTACTTTTATAAACAATTTTTTCTGTGTTCTCATTTATTTTCCTTAAGTAAATTTCGTTATTTTTTCAATTACCAACATTAAATCTTCGACCAGGCGGAAGACCGAGACTCTGGTGATTTTGGAACTACAGGAATCAGGTTTACTGAGCTCAGAGGACAAATAGCTGACAAGTAAGGTTATGTCTTATACAAACATAAGGTAAATAAGAAATGACGTCATCATTTGGACTGTAATTTTGAACTTGCATTTTTGACACAAGAAAATGAGTACGTGTTTTATATACAGATATATATAATATAATGTGAAATTTGAAAAAAAGGAAGCTTTTCAGTTTCGAGTTCATAAAAAAATTATATTTCACCATAGTAACAGGTTTTTAAAATTTTATATTTCCTCATCAATGAGTAGTAAGGAAGATCTTGTTTTAATTACTTTGTTTTCTGTGCAGGTTAAACCTAGACCCTGTCACAGGAGTAATAACCGTCAAAACGTCAGAGCACGGATTCGACCGCGAAACTACATCACAATATTACGTCACAGTGGAGGCACGAGATAATAATGGCAAAGGAAACCGCAATTCGGTGCAGCTGCAGATACTACTTGAAGATGTGAACGATAATGTTCCTCGTTTCTTGTTGCCGCGCTACGAAGCTCGAATCAACGAAAACGAGGCTAACTTCCTCAGTCCTCTTGTTGTACAGGTGTCTGATTTCTTAGTTTTTGCTGTGTAACTATTTAATTAAATAAGTGTATTTTTTTTAAAGTACACATTTTTCTCTCACTTATCATTAAATAAGAGTTACATAGAGCAGTGTTTCCCAAGGTGGGAGCCGCGGCCCCCCTTGGGGCCGTGAAGCTTTTTCTGAGAGGCTGCCAAAAAAAATGAGCCGTAAACAAAAATGCTGAATTAATTTTAATTCTAAATAAACAATAAGCCGGTAAAAATTATGTTGAATTAATTAAACTAAAGGCTTGCCTCATATTTTAAAACGAAAATAAGATAACCTTACATAAAATTACGTGTGTATTTAATTGCTTATCAGACTACAAATTTAACCCAAACATAATAAATTGTTAATGGTCAAATTATAATACATATAAATTGATAAGAAAAGGCCACATTAAATTACAAACATTCAATTTAATAGAAAAAAAGTACTTCATAAATATTATTAAAATTCATTAGTGATTATTTTTTGAAATTGACAAATTACATTTTAAAGCATTTTTATAGGTTGGGGGCCTCAAACTTTTTTATTCACATCAAGGGAGGCTCAGACTAAAAGAGTTTGGGAACCACTGAGTCATAGAGGATCCTGTTTTATAATTAGTCTGTAAACACATAATTTCAAACACAAACACTTAGTTTTGAATACGGTGTTTAAGGTTCAAAATGTGCTGGGAAACTTTATGTAACAAAATATGGAAATATTTAACTCAATTTAGGTAACAAAACATGATCAGCTGAGAACATCAGTTTCGATTTTTATCAGTCCTCGTCAGCTCAGCCATGTCGAAAATAAGAAACGTCACTAAAAGGAATTTTATAGGACTAGTTTAGACAAGCTTGCTTTGCTTGAATTTTCTTTCTTATCAACACCTCTATGATATTTTAGTTCAAGGGTTTGAGATTTTCTACTTCACCGACCATCTCTGGCATTGCTGTTTTACTAACTTTTGTTACAAACAACAAAACCGAAAGGTTAGATTAAATCAACGTTGAAATACTAGAAATCCGAGAAAATCGCACAAGGAAAATGATAGGTTCTAACTTCCATTGTTCAAGTTTATGATTTAGACACTCCCCCCACCCCACCGTCCCCTAACATACTGACATCACTCTTTAACACTGTTTTTTTTTAATTGGTGTAAAAATGGACCTTTAAACAAAATTTACCAGAAGATTTATACTTGTTTTCATGTACATGAATTTAGGGGACGCTGTTAAGCTGATTAGGGTACAACGGCCTGTTGAGAAACTGGTCGTAGCTTCCAGTTTTTTATAGGTAGGCTGTAAGTAACAAGGGCTTGGGTTGGCTTTTTAGTAGCTTTGTAATAAACACAAAATACAAGTGTAGCTAATAAATAGCTCACCTGTTTAATCATCAGCACGATAGTTGGAAAGAGTTGAAGCACTTCAACTACAATATGTATGTAATTTGAGGTATAATTTTAATCAATAGAAGTGCATCTATTCATCCAATAAATCTAATTTTACTCACTTAAAGCTGGCGGGTTTCAATTTATTTATATACATGGTAGTATCCCTTCCTAAAAGTATGTTTGTGTTATTTTAAGAAACGCACGCCTTAGGTTAGTGTGAGTCCCCCGGTGGGACAGTAGTAAGGTGACGGACTTACAACGTTAGAATCCGGGGTGGACACAGCAGATAACCCAACGTGGCTTTGCTCTAAAACAAACAAATACTCTATTGAGTCCCCCAGTGGGACAGTGGTAAGTTTACGGACTTACAACGTTAGAATCCGGGGTGGACACAATAGATAGCCCAATGTGGCTTTGCTCTAAAATTGTGTGTGTGTGTGTGTAAGTGTGAATATCATTTCCTAACAATGCTTGCTCTATTTACATGTGCTTCGAGTTTTTGTCTGCACACAGAACATAAAACTAACTTAACTCCTTTTTTTTTTAAAGGCTCGAGACGATGATTTGAATGGAACTAAGAACAGTGAGGTTCGATATCAAATTATCCGCGGTGATCAAGAAAACAACTTTTCTATCGATTCTGTCAGCGGTGAAATCAAACCTCGGACTCCTCTGGACTTCGAGAAAATCGCACAAGGGAAAGGAGATATTCGTACTTTCACTCTTACTGTTCAAGCGTATGATTTAGGCTTACCTTCTCTACATAGTGACGTTTCTGTTGTTATATACGTTCAGGTGGGTCGTTATCTGTGTGTTTATGTTAAAAACTGAAAGTTGTAGTGTAAGTGACACATTGTTAGACGTTATTCTTAACTTTTAGTGTTAAGTTCTTAGGGCTACAATCGATGGTTCTAAATTCTAGAGTGTATAAAACGTTCTGTGCGTTATAGATAATTGCGCTAAGTTTCAGTGCTTTCCGTCTTTCAAGCGCTACAAGCAATGGTGCTAACTTTTGTGATTACTGCGGCTTTGAATGATACCTTTGAATTCCCCCCGTGGGACAGCGGCAAATTTACCGAATTACAACACTGGAATTCGAAGTTCGATTCCCCGTGGTGAACGCACACGACAAATAGCCTAATGTGGCTTTATTCTAAAACAAACAATATACTTAGCGTTACAGATGATGTTGGTGAAAGGCAGTGAATTCTGCCTTTTTTGCGCATTACGAACAGTGATGCCAAGTGTTGGCGCTTATAA